GTTGAATGGTGAAAGCGGATCAATAAGTGTCATTGTTTTCAGATGAGCTTAGATATAGCTACTGCTTTCAATGGATCTTATTATATAACATTAAATTATCATTTTATTTATAAATATAGTAAATATATTATTTATTATGATAATTATTAAAATATTTAATATTTTACAAAAGCCATTTAGATCTGGGAGGACTGACATCATAGGAGATATCTGATAAGTACTGGAATTCTGCGAAAACTAGGTCAGTTTGGAATAGTGCGATAACCCCGGTTTTAACACGAAATGCATGCGTTGATAAGAATAGTGCAAGCGAATTCCAGCCACGAGGAAACAAAACGGTTGAAGGACCGAGAAGGGTAAACCTAAATGAAGGTGTAAGGATAGAGGAGCCGTTAAACGCAACACCTATTAGAGCATCGGTACCCAGACAGTCTGATAACACAGAGAAACGAAAGGCAACAACCAGCGAGAAAGGCCAAGGACATGTTACCGAGGCAACAAAGTTTCAAAATGCTCATGCTAATGGATTACCATGTAACAACATGTTTGAGGCAGCACAAACCTCCACAAAAGCGGAAGTTGAGGCTTTTCGAAGAACCTATGTCGCGGAAGTGTGCCAGGATTTGTTTGCTAAAAAGGAACAGAGACGGCGAGAGCATTGAATTTTAGGGTAACAATATCACAACAATCTCCTGTTGAAGACGAAAACCTACGACTGACCCTTTAGGGTGCATCCATTGCAACAACCCAATCAACCATCTTGATGTTGTCATCATCAGACTCTTCATTTGGCACACCAAATTCCCCTTCAACTAGTATTTCGTTCTCAACCGAGGAGCTAATGGATACAGAGATCGGTAGCATATCGCCTATTGGAGTAAAAGGTTAGTTATCCGACAACTATACTGTATTTGGTAAAGATTTAAGTGAAATATGGTAATTATCTACATATACATTTTTGCAACACTTTTACGAAATAAATATTCAAGTTGGAACTTATTACAAAAGAATGTCATTGGCATTAATTATTATCAATTAAATAATATTTCAAATTACTAATATTTCTTTATCTAATATATATTTCCATCAATCTTAAAACATTATTAATATTATACTTTATTAAAATGTAAATATTGTAATTATTTAAAGTTTAATAAACATTTAAAATATTAAATAGAAAAAACGTTTAGAATATTCATAATATATGATATCTATTAAAACTAAATAATCATTTGAAAGAAAACTTTTAAATTGATTTGAATTATAAATCTTTTAATAAAAGTATTATTAATACAGAAAATAAAAAATAAAGTTTAATTTTTCTGAACGAGATTAGATGGTATGACGGGTTTAAAATATTATAATATTTGAAATTTATAACAATTAAATAAATATTTGAAAGAAGACTTTTAAATCAGTATATATTTTATAAATTAAAGTATGATTAAAAAATAACAAAATAATCATTAATTTTACTTAACTAGGTTAGATGGTAGGACGAATTTGGATCGATAGTAAGATGAGGTGGTATATCACGGGTGAAATCCATTAGATATGTTTGGTTTCACTTAACGGGGTTAGATAATAAAACGGGTTTGGGTGGATAGTAATACGAGACGGTATACTACGGGTAAAATTAATTATATATTTTTAATTTCAGTGAACAAGATTAGATGGTAAGACGGATTTGGATCGATAGTAATACGAGTCGGTATACCATAGGTGAAATCCTACATATAACAATCAAAATAGAATTATATTATCTTAAATACTAAACAGAACAAACAATATTAACAAAAATAAATATAATTTAAATTTCTATTATTTAGTTATAATTATCTAGATTATAACTTAATGAATTGTGTGTTATTGTTCCTACACTTTTAGACAGTAAAAATCAAACATAATAATTGTACACTAAAAATATATAGATGTAAAACTTGAACATTTAGAAAATACAAAACATTAAATCATATTTTATTAAATAAATTAAAATTTAGTATTCTATATTTTGACAGGTCCAAATACAATGGATGACTATTACACAAAAATGGGATTAGATAAATGTTAATATTTATAAATGAGATTAGATAAATGGGATTACACAGATGGATAACATAGAAATTAACATTTTTAAATGTTATCAAATATATATTAAAGGGATTAGATGATAAAATATATCAATTACATAAGATATAGAAACAAGGTAGGAAAAGACAGTTCCCAGATGATATAACTCTATTTTTACCGATTTTAGCTATGATTTAGGTACAGGTTTTAGAATCTAATTGTTATTTCTAGAGTCTTTTCTAATCCTTTTCAGGTCTTTACATGTTTGGGATGCATTTGAAGATTATGGAGCATTCTGGAGATCAAAAGACAACTTAAGCTGCAGAAGCAATCCGGAGACAAAAATGCACGTAGATGTCGAACGACACCACCCCTGGTGTCGAGCGACACCAATACCTGACGGTAATTTCGAGACGCAACTTATTGATGTTTTGAAGATTTCCAAATTCGGCCCAGAACTTTTTCCTATGTTTAATTAAGGCCCATCACGTTTTTAAGACATATATATAGTTTTCAGGTCATTGTTTTAGACACTAAGCTTTGGGAGGCTATTCCTTGGATCTCTTTTGTACTTTGGTAGCAAAACCCTGTGGAAACTCCCTTTGGATCTTTCTTACTCTATTCTCTTCTTGTTTTATATATTGATTTCTATTCTAATCATGTTGTTTGCTTCATTCATCATGCTTGAGTAGTTTTCTTGTTAGGTTTAGGGTTTCTCATTAGGGATTTAGATGATTTAGTAGATTGCCCCTTGCTAGGTTATCTATAGGATTCTTCATCTTGATTGTTGTTAATGCTAGTTCTAGAGTAGCTAACTAGAACTTGATATTAGATAATAGGTATGCCCACCATAGGCACTTGCTATTTGATCTCTCATAGATGAGCCTAGGCAGTTAAGAAAGAACAGGTAGGCTCATAAAAGGGCTCTGGTTTAGATACTAGGTGAACTAATCAGACTTGATAATAATGCATGCTTTAGTATAAGATTTCTCGGCTTCTCCGGTTATCTTAACTCTAAGTATAGAGACTTTTGCGGAACGCCACCGGTTACTCTAAAATCATAGTTTGAGTTCGAGAACGGTTCGATAACAACTTAGCTATTTCTAGATCTACTATCAGCTATCTCCTGAGAATACCCTAAGCCTGACACTTTTATTATCTTGTTTCATAACCATCCAATTGATTGCTATTGTTTACTTTTGTTTCTCTTTATTTTATTTACTATTTTACTTAGCATAATTCGATTTGCCATTAGTCTATTCCGTGATCCGAGAGCCATGTGAATTCGATCCCTAAATGCTGCAACTGACCTCTTTATTTGAGAGAGTGGTCTTAGGATTAATTTGACCTATATCACCAGATATTATTAAATGAAGACAGCGATTAATTTAGCTTCTAACGTGGAAATTAACCAAATTAATTTCTTCCACATCAACATGACCCGCTTGAACATCCGCTGCCCTTGACCCACTGCAATCACTAGAAAAACTGCTGTTATAATAAGCAGCTGTCCCATCAACAAAATTATCGAGTCCTAATAAGTGTGCATTTTACTTGTTTTGAGCATCCATTTGTCATCACTTTAGCATCATATCACCACTGTTTTATACCATTTCTCATCATTTGTCATCACTTTAAATATTTAGGATAGTTTTGCATGCATATTGCATATTTGTGTTGTTTTCATGTGATTTGGAGCTGCTAGGGAGCTAATTGGAAGAAGTGGACCTGAACAAATCAATATACTCGACCACAAAGTCGACTATCGTCATCCTGGACTTTCTGAAGTACTCGGCCACAACCTCTAAAGCAAATCCCTCGACAGCAACACTCTATCTATCACTCGACCACGAGGTCGAGTGCAGCCATCACCATTTCTCACCATCACTCGACCCCCTGGTCGAGCACATCCATCACCACCTATCGCCATTCACTCGACCCCTGGTCAAGCAACAACGTCGCCACCTCTCGTCATTCACTCAATCACCACCACTCAACCCCATGGTTGAGTCCCACCATCATCGTTCACTTGATAAATCATTCTGCCACCAAGTCGAGTTCCACCATCATCCACCACTCGACATCATACTCGACTGCCAGCTTCAGAGTCTTCTCAATTCCTCACTCAACCAGACATTCGAGCATAAGGAAGAGAAGAAGACTCCAGCTAATCACTCGACCCATTACTCGACCACCTGGGTCGAGTACCGTTCTTAATCCGTCTCAATACTGTGTCGTTTTGAGTATTAGGATTTCAGAACATTTCGCTATAAGTAGCATGTACTTTATATTTTCGAGACTAAGTTTTATTCCGTAGATAGATTGTCTTCTTAACCAAATCTGAAGTCCTGTGATTCGCTACTATCAGTGCTCTATAGCGAATGTTCTCTTCTCCAGGGAGTCTACTGGCACTGTGTCTAACACAGACATGGAGATGATAGATTCCACACTCAAAGGCATTCTCTGTCGAACAAAGGGAAAGAAGATCCTAAAAGGTGATCTCAATGATGCGCCACCAGTGATGCTTCTGTTGATCCACCTTTGTGGATACATGAAGTGGGCGTTGACCAACGTCAAGAAGAGGGTGCGAGTTTATCTTTGCATAGGTAGTGTTGTGACGCTAATTCTGATAGCATGTGGAGTACCGCTCAAGGAACCATGGTTTGAACCAAGGACGATGGACATAGATCATATGCGTTCCTATGAGTTTCTGGAACATGACATGGTTGGTGACGTCTATCGCTACAGATTTGAGCATTTGTCGATCAGAACCGCCAACATTCTTCTCCCCTGCACTGAAGCTACTAGAATACTCGAGGGACAAAATATTGACTTCAAGCCTGCGTTTGAAGATCTTTATTTCGAGAACAGTCCGCCAACTGAGTAGAACGTTCATACAGAAGGGGTTACAATAGAGGAGGTTGATGAGACGGATGAGGATAGAGAAGTGGAGTATGACACAAGCATGTATCAGTTTAGAGAGCATGTATCACTTTAAAGAGCATGTACCTCTAGCGAGGGAGAGCAAGAGCTTGAGTGAGGCTCACAGAAACAACATCATGTTGTAGAAGTGGTGTAAGAAACATGATAAGTTCATCATCAAATGCCTAAAGACCATCAAGGCTCTGAAGGCTATGATAAACTTCACCTCTTCCACTACAGCTATTCCGCATGGACCTCCTCCTCAAGACATGCCATCGAGGAGATATGACGAGCCTGAGCCAAGTCAGCACAGGCCAGAGCCTAGTGAGCAAAGGATCTCATAAGTTCCAGCGAGGCATTCATCATACGAGCCTTGGGAGTACGGGAGGAAGAAGAAAGTTGTGCTCACTCGATCTAGCAGCAAGAATACAAGACTTCTCCAGACTAGAAGTTTACGCGACAGCGGTGCTGGCCGCAGCAGAAGACAAGAGGTCGAGTATCTTCGTTGCGGTGTTGGCCGTAAGAGAGGGGATGAGGTCAAGTACCCTCAAGGACCTGGAGCTGAAACAGAACAGGGCGACTCTTCAATGGCCTGAGAGCAATCACAGGATACCATTGACGACAAACTCCGTTTATTTTTCGACTGAGGTAAGCGCCTCACTTCACCATTGTACAATACCATCTTCTGTATTTATTTTGTTTATGTGATGTGTTTTATCCTGAGTACTCTCTTCCAAATTTGGTCACATAGAGGACTGTGTGATTTGAAAAATTTCTGAAAATAATTTCACAAAAACATGAGTGTTCATATAGTTGCATTGCATATAGAATTGAGTCCAGGATGTTTCATGTAGGATTGTTGCATATGCATAGGGGATAATAAGGAGATAACCTTGTAAGCATGATGATTCACTAAATGAGCTATTAGTTCTTGGATGCATTTGAATGACTTTGAAGTAAAACCGCACCATGTTCTATAGAAACCACTCGATGCATATCATGACACCTTTCCCTGTCAATTTGAACATGAATCTGACTTATAATTATCATGTTTGCATCGGTTTTGAACTCATGGATAGAATACATACATGGATTTTCTTTCACTTATTCACCACTCTTGTTAATCCAAGTAGCTGCTTCTATTATTGGAGTAGTTTCCCCACCCTTAACCAACCAATCTTTCAAGCCATGTTATTTTGTGAGGGCATGTAAGACCTATTTTCCAAATTGAGCTTGGTAGAACGTGGTAGGTTTGAGCCGACAAGAGTAGTATCTCAAGTAGTTCCAATCCGCGTTTTCGGCCTTGAGGTCTATAGGAGAAGGAAGTAGAAAATCATATTGAGGTCTAGTGAATGTTTGGGAAGCATAAAATTGATAAGATATACTCTAAAAAAAGGAAGATGGCAACAAAAACAGAAAAGAAAAAAAATTATAAGAGCCATGAGAGTTTAAGAAAATCCAATTCACTAGACTAGACTCATAGAATTTAAGAAAAGTCTCTCCTTAAGAACAAAAGCCAAAGAAATGAAAGGAAATGAGTTGATCCAAGAAAGAATCAAAATTTGCCTTTAGTGCAAAAGGGTAGACTTAGGATCATCATTGGGTTTGGAGATAGGACCATCTACTTGTTATTCACGGTTTATGTCATTGGATAGATGGGATGCTATTCTAGTATGCATAGGTTGGCACTTACCTTTAGCATTCTTCTAAAACTCAGTTCTCTTTCATTGAGAGTCCCTTGTTATTACAATCTGAACCACCTTAAAGGGACCATCTTTGTCTCATGACCTGTCCTTAGCCTAATGAGTTCACTAGCGATGCATATCTTGATTCATGTTCTTAAACTTAATGAATGTTAAAAGGATTGGTTGATCTTGACGCATTGTGCAATTTAGTGTAGGTTTGGATCATAACAGAGCATGGCTAAAGTCCCCACCTTCAAACCTCTCCTTCCGCTTATGTTTTTTTGTTTGCTTGAGGGCAAGTAAAGACTACATTTGGAGAGTTTATAAGTGTGCATTTTCCTTGTTTTGAGTATCCATTTGTCATCACTTTACCATCATATCACCACTGCTTTATACCATTTCTCATCATTTGTCATCACTTTACATGTTTAGGATAGTTTGCATGCATATTGTATATTTGTGTTGTTTTTAGGTGATTTGGAGCTGCTGCTGAGCTAATTGGAAGAAGTGGACCTGAACAAATCAATATACTCGACCACGAGGTCGAGTATCGTCATCCTCGACTTACTGAATTACTCGCCCACAACCTCTACAGCTAATCACTCGACAGCGACACTCTATCCTTCACTCGACCTCGAGGTTGAGTGCAGCCATCACCATTTCTCACCATCACTCGACCCCCTGGAGGGCACCTCCATCACCACCTATCGCCATTCACTCGACCCCCTGGTCGAGCAACAACGTCACCACCTCTCGTCATTTACTCGATCACCACCACTCGACCCTGTGGTCGAGTCCCACCATCATCATTCATTCGATCAATCACTCTGCCACCAAGTTGAGTTCCACCATCATCCACCACTCGACATTATACTCGACTGCCAGCTTCAGAGTCTTCTCAATTCTGCACTCAACCAGACATTCGAGCATAAGGAAGAGAAGAAGACTCCAACTCATCACTCGACCCATTACTCGACCACCTAGGTTGAGAACCGTTCTTAATCCATCCCAATACTATGTCGTTTTGAGTATTAGGGTTTCAGAACATTTCGCTATAAGTAGCATGTACTTTATATTTTTGAGACTAGGTTTTATTCGGTAGACAGTTTGTGTTCTTAACATTTCTTAATCTAGATTTTCTCTTACTTTCATTGAGTATTTTGCTTTTAATTACTAAGTTGTTCATCTTGTTATCGTTCTGTTATCATTCTGTTGCTATGATGTTTTCATTCATGTCATCGTTTATGTTCTCTATATTGAAGTCTAAGTAGTGACTAGGTTGCTAAGGATGGGTTAGAGTAGTTAGGAATCCTTGGTTTGCTAGGTGGTTGACTTTGATTTATAGATCTGTTATGGATTAGTTGTTCTTAATGCCTATTGCTTTCTGATCAACTAGAATTTGAGCCCAGATGTTCGCGTACACAAAAGGTCTTCGACGAAATGTCTGAACCACTAATTTCAGAGATTCGTGGCTCTATACCACTGAATTGGTTACAAGAAGCGTTTTGGCAATAACTTGTTGATTCGTTATGCCTGTTAGGTTAGCTCTCGTCACTGGTGATTGAGTCTGGGAATAGTTTAACTTGAGGATCTCTGTTGCGGTGGCACTTAGATTTGGTTATCGAACTAGTTGTCTAGGGATAGTTTATTGAGCATGTCAATCACCTATAGATTGAGGAAATTTAGCTGATAAGTGTGTATTTTGCTTGTTTTCAGCATTCATTTGTCATCATTTTAGCATCATATCATCACTGTTTTATACCATTTCACATCATTTGTCATCACTTTGCATGTTCAGGATAGTTTTGCATGCATGTTGCATATTTGTGTTGTTTTCAGGTGATTTGGAGCTGTCGACGAGCTAACTGGAAGAAGTGGACCTGATCATGACAAACCACTCGACCTAGAGGTCGAGTAGGAGCTTCAAGATCTCAAGAGACCACTCGACCCCCAAGTCGAGTAGAAGACACCGCCACTCTACCACAACGCTCGACCCCCAGGTCGAGTGTCTTCATCTCCATCTCTTGACCACCACTCGATCACATCACTCGACCCCCAGGTCGAGTGACTTCATCTCCATCTTCTGACCACCACTCGATCACGTCACTCGACCCCCAGGTCGAGTGACTTCATCCCATTGCCAGACCTCTACTCGACCTCATCACTCCACCTGGATGTCGAGTATCACCATCACCACCACTCGACTTCATACTCGATGACAAGCTTCAGAGCTTTCTTCATTCCGCACTCAAGCAGACACTCGAGCACAAGGAAGAAAAGAAGACTCCAGCTATTCACTCGACCTCTCACTCGACCACATGGGTCGAGTACAGTTCTTAACCCGTCCCAATACTTCGTCGATTTGAGTATTAGGGTTTCAGGATATTTGGCTATAAGTAGCATGTACTTCACATTTTCGACAAGAAGTTTTTATCTAGTTTTATTTCCGTAGACCTTGTGTTCTAGACTTTTTGTAATCCGGATTTCTCTTTATCTATTCAGTATTCAGTATTCAGTTTCTGTTCTTGATTTCGTTTACTGTTGTTCATTCTGTTATCATCCTGCTGTTACATTGTTGTTATCATGTTTTCAATTTGTTCAACCTTTATGCTTTCTGTTATGATGTCTGAGTAGTGAATAGGTTTCTGAGGATGGGTTAGAGTAGTGTAGAATTCTCAGTATGCTATGTGATTGAGTATTGGTTGATAGATCCCTTCTGGATTAGTTGTTCTTAATGCCTATTGCTTTCTGATCAACTGGAATTTGAGCCTAGACATTTCCGCACCCAAAAGGTGTTCGATGAAATGTCTAAACCACTAATTCCAGAGATTCGTGACCCTGTACCAAGGTATTGGTTGCAGGGAGCGTTTTGGCTTTAACTTGTTGATTCGTAATGCCTGTTAGGTTAGCTCTCGTCAATGGTGATTGAGTCTGGGATTAGGTTAGCTTGAGAGTCTCTGTTGCGGTGGCACTTAGATTTGGTTAATGAACTTGTTGTCTAGGGTTAATTTATTGAGCATGTCAATCACCTGTAAACTGAGGAAACGAAACTACTCAATTACCCCATCCTTAGGAATTCTTTATCTAATTGATTTTATTGTTTACTCTACTGCTGTGTACTGCATCCTGTCATCTGTTGCTTAGTTTCTGCAATTCTTTACTGTTACTCGACCTGATACTCGACCACCCAGTTGTCTGGCAACAGACTGTGCAGTCGAGTATCTCTGTTACATTATCTGTCTGTTACTCGACTTGTCACTCGACCACACCCAGTGCTCTGCAACGAGGTGTGTTGGTCGAGCGTTTATTTGTTTCTGCTTGATTTTTTGTTTTCTGCATGTTCACTTAGGACTGCTAGAACGCACCAAAACCTGTTATTGCTTGGCTTGACTTAGTGACTTCTGATCACATCTTGATTATTAGCATCACACCCATTTTGATTGACAACCTAAAATACTACAACGACATGATTGGTGTTTTAGGATAATTGACTAAAAACCTATTATCAATTTGGCGCCGTTGCCAATTGGGTGTTTTTATTGTTACATTTGAGATTTCAGACT